GTTATTTTATTTATTTTATTTTATTTGTTATTTTATTTATTATATTTATTTCATTTTAATTTATCTTATTAGTTTAGTTTAGTTTATTGTCATTGCACCTCGTACAATTAAATGCCATCTTCAGTGTACATTATAACTATAAAAATAAAAACACAAACACACATCCTTCACATTCTATGCAACTGAATTGAAAAACCCCTGATATCGCATTAATATTACACTATACAGTAGAATTCAATATAGTTCCTGCCCTGGGATAGAACCTGTTTTTCAACCTGTTTGTCCCTATTTTTATTATCCTGTACTGTTAAAATATTCATGACTGGGAGAGACATGGGAACAAGGTCAGCCAATGAATAGGCATAGCAACCAAGTCAGCCAATGGGAGCTTAAACAGATCTGAGTCTGTGCAGAGAACTGAAACAGAAACTTAAGCAGTCTACTGCTCCAAAAAAGTAAACTATCAGTCTGTCTGGGCTTGTCTGCTGAAAATGAAACTAACTGCTTGTGTTTGCCTGTAACTCTCCTGCTGTCAGGGTTCCAAATAACATCCAAAAGTAAATCAGAGTCCGAGGCAAAGGATTGCTCAGAGTTAGAGTTTGCTCAAAGGATTGCTCAGAGTTGCTCGACCTGAGCGCATGATGCCACACACAAAACCACACAAACACAGGTCAATTCCAAAGACATCACTCCCACAACGCATAAAACTATATGTGCCTCCATCCGAATACCTTTAAAACACAACCCTTAATCTTAAAGGACCATTACCGTGTAAGAATTTCTGTTTAAAACATTTATTTGCAACTGTAGGTTTCAGCCAAATCAAAATAAAAACCCCAGCAAGCCAGTTGTGAATTCCCAGTCGCGGAATTCAGGCCTGGGTCGCAGAACCGGCAGCGAGCCAGGCCTGCCACGCCCGCAAACTGGTTCCCTTCCCGCCGCTGGGCCGCCATTTTGGATTTTTAGTGACTGCCCGTGCGCAGTTCACTGCAAATTGTTCTGCGCATGGGCGAAGAACAATTGACATTGAATAGTGCACAGGCGCAGGTTGCGAACCAGTAGTAAAACCACCAGCAACCCACCCCTGACGGAGGTTGTGAAAAAGGTTATCTCTAAAACCCCAAAGCTTTAGAAACTTTCTATTCCACGGAGCAAATGTGGAATGGAATTTGTCCGTTGGAGAGAACTGATCCATTTGCCACCGCAGGACAATCTCTCTGCCCTTTCCCAAATTCTATTCCTCTCTTTTCAGAGCAACTTTACTTCTGGCGTTCATTCGTTCGACCAGATGAGTGGTGTGGTGGCCTAGAAGTAGAGCTCTCGCCTCACAATCTGCAGGCTGAAAGTTCGATCCTTGGTAGAAGCGGATATTTCTCTCTCTGGGCATAATGAGAATGTATCTGCTGGGGAAAAGACTCCGTATTGGCAACAGGAAAGGCATCTGGCCAGTAAGCTCTATGCTAGCTCCATACAGTTGCCCAGACTCCACCCGGCGTTCAATGATGATGATTTGTTCACCTTGGTGCCACTCAGAGGCACATGACTTCTTCGTCGCCTGGAGAGGGAAGCGGACTTATAGCTGCTTCTTATTTCTGGAGGCCTCTTCTGGACGGTAGTGAGAAATCATCTGAACGAGGACGGCGCAGTTGATGGCGAGGAACGCCAAACCCGCCAGGCAGAGGAGCAGAAATGTATTCTGCCCTTGAAACTCCAGGAAGTAAGCGGGAAGCAGCCAAAGGCCCTGTCCCAGGAGCCACAGCGATAGCAACGCTGCCCCCCGCCCCCAGGACATCCGCAGGAATGGCAGGACCAGGGGCAGGAGGGACAGGTACCACAGGAAATACTGGGAGGTGCAGACTTTGTTAAAGCTCACGAAAACCGCCGTGTGCAAGAAGCAGCAGAAAGCCAGGTCTCGGTGGTAGACGAAGGAGATGGCGAGGAGCAGCAGCAGCTGGGGCAGGAAGGCGGCCAGCCCCAGCGCCAAACTCCAGCGGCTTTCGGCCGTCAAATACAGCAGGTAGAAGTAGGGTGAGAAGTTGTGGCGGGTGTCTCTCCGAAACAAATGGTAGAGGTAGGTGTGCTGCAGGAATTCCCAGCCGTAGTAGACATAGAAGGTGAGACCCAGGGCGGCAAAGGTGGCCCCGGAGACAGCGGCAAAAACCAGGATGTCCCGCGTGAAGCAGCTCCGAGGCAGCCCGAGGCAGCGCCCGGCGCAAGCTCCCTCCTCTTTCCGCTTCTCCAGTTCCGTTTCTCCCGGGCTGCGTTGCAAATGGAGGAGAAAAGGCAGTGCGTAAGTCACGGGGTAGATCTTCATATGTACGGCCAGGCCGTAAAGCACAGCCGCCTTCACTAGGCGCCTCTTGGCCAGGTAATAGAGGGTGCCAAGGACCAGGCTGGCAATGAGAGACTCGGCGTTGCCTCGGCTGGACACCGTCATGGGAAGCGGGTTAAAGAGCCAGAAGGCACAGCACCCGCCAGCGGTCCGGCTATCCAGCCCTCGGAGGAGCAAGATTCGGTTGATCAGGAAGGCCGCCACCAGATCCCCAGCCACAAAAAGGACCTTGCCAAAGACGTGGCTGACGTAAATGTTGGGGGTTAACATCCAGGCCAGGAGGGGAGTGTAGCGGTAGGTAGCCCGCTGGTAAGGGGACTTTCCTTCCGTGACGTATCTGGCGGCGTCGGTGAAGACCTGGTAATCGACATCTGTGTATTTCACCAGCATTGTTCTGTCCTGGTAGAGCCCGTAAAACATCAGGCCCAGCCTGAGTAGCAAAGCGTTGCCGAATAAAACATCCCTCCGGAGGAGCCCCCGGAGAATACGCCGCCCTGAGCTCAGAGGGGGATCCGGGCGTGGGTCTCGCCGACAGGGATCACGGCGAGAAGCAGATCCAGGAACCGGTTCGGATTTAAGACCTCGTTTCAACATGGTTTTCCACAGAACCAACGGTCAAGTTTGAAGACTCTCTCTCTCGTGCGCTTCCGAATTTAGCAGGCACTCCTGTTTTTAAAAAACAACATAGCCACAGGGGAGAAAAAAGCAGAGATTGAATTTTAAAATCGGTCAGGCAGGCCACCAGCTTCCTTACTCATATGCTAACCCATATTTATTTATGTTTGAATATAAAATATAAACATAAAGTAGAGAAATAAAGAGGATTAGAGGACTGGAGGCTAAAACATATGAAGAACGGTTGCAGGAACTGGGAATGTTCTAGTTTAATGAAAAGAAGGACTAGGGGAGACGTGATAGCAGTCTTCCAATATCTCGGGGGTTGCCCCAAAGAAGAGGGAGTCAAGCTATTCTCCAAAGCACCTGAGGGTAGAACAAGAAGCAATGGGTGGAAACTAATCAAGGAGAGAAGCAGAACTTAGGAGAAATTTCCTGACAGTGACAACAATTAATCAGTGGAACAGAAGTTGCCTCCAGAAATTGTGAATGCCCCAACGCTGGACGTTTTTAATACATTGGACCAGTGTTTTTCAACCTTGGCAACTTGAAGATGTCCGGAC